GGACATCCGGATACAAATGTATCACAATACATATCTATAGTAACAGTAGAATGAGCAAAGAGGAAAGATATGTTGCAAATTTTTAACAGCAGTATTACAACTGGTAATGAGACTTGGTCGAAAATGGGTATGACTTTAAAGTGTCACACTATATATTCACGCCTTTCGATGCGCCTACCAAGCTGGAGCTGTCACTCGCCGTGTTGGAACCGATATAATATAAGAAGACTAACCTCTCAAAACCTATCGAGTATTGTACTGTATTCATAATATCGCGATATATTGCAACATGATTTATCGTTGCAGCCCTATTATACATACACAAATATACAAGACACTCTAGTCAATAAGGTGACAAAAAATTATTAATGTTTCCATCTTGTCCTAGTTCTCCGTCCTACTTTGTTGTTTTTTTAAACAAACACTGTTTAAAGTCTATAATATAGTCTCGATATTTTAAAATCCTTTTGAATATAACGTGTTAATTAAAGTTTTGCATACCTGCCTATATTGGCTACCTACACTTTTTAACCCAATTTGTATGACAGTCAATAGGGGCAACACAACAATGTTGTTTTCCGAGGCAACTACACTGTAGTCAATTTATGTAAATTGTGTATGTACGTTAATGCTTCATTCGATTTCTGAAGTCTAGAACTAATAAAGTTCATGCAGTCCAAATTGCTACTGAACGGATATGCGACTTGTAGTACTTGTTTAAAAAACTTTTTTTCCCTTTTAATTTTAATTTTCTAACCTATTAAACCATCCTTCTTTCAAAATGAAGTCCATCAATGTGTTTATAGAATAAATATGGTGTGCAAAACCCTCCCAATAACACAAGTGCCAAGTGTATAGTTCTTGTGTATTTGTTTATTGTATTCTATATTAAACAACCCCTTTTGAATACTGTCAAGTCCCTGGGGGTATTTATGGGGTAAATGCGGTACATGTAATGTGGTGGCGTGTTGTACCAACATTACTCCTGTCCCATCACCTTCCTGGTACAATTTCACCCCTGGCTGCACCCCATTGTCTACCAGATACATACAGAAGGCCCTGGTGGTGCTCAACCCTGTATCTACCTTAGTAAATACCACAACTGTGTATCTACATACACCTACCAACTATAGATAAAGATATACTTGTACAGAAAAATAAAGTGAGCTCAAATTATTGTCATTTATGTTAAAAAAACATCTCTGTTGCATTTGGTTAGAATGTATGTAACACATTGTACATATGACAACCATATTGTTGCTATGTGTAGCTCTGTAGATAATGACAACTGTGTTATAGAAGCATTTCTTATGGCAGGATGACGACAACTGTTGCTATGGTAATGTTACACACATATATATATATATAAAACTAGATAATGACAACTGTTTCTATAGTAATATTACAAATATATATATATAAAACTAGTTAATGACAACTGTTGCTATGGTAATATTACATATATATATATAACTAGTTAATGACAACTGTTGCTATGGTAAGGTAACATATATATGAAGTTAATTAATGACAACTGTTTCTATGGTAATATCACATATATATTTATATAAAACTAGTTAATGACAACTGTTGCTATGGTAAGGTTATATCTATATGAAGTGAGATAATGACAACTGTTACTAATATTACTAAATTTAAAGCTGGATGACAATGGTTGCTTAGGCAATGCTGTGTAGCTAATGACAACTGTTGCTATGGTAATGTTTTATATGAAGTTAGATAATGACCACTGTTATTAATATTACAAAATGTATAGCTGGATGGCAAAGGTTGCTATAGTATTGTATAAAGTTAAGACATTTGTTGCTATGTTAATGGTTTACATATAGCAAGTTAATGACAAATGTTGCTATATTAGTACTAAATGTATAGCACCTTGATGACAATGGTTGCTATGGTATTGATGTGTAGTTAATGACAACTGCTGCTGTGGTACATTGAACATAGATATTGACAACTGTTGCTGTCATTCATAAATGACACTGTTGCTAGTTGGAAAATGATGACTGTTGATTCAACATCCCTAATAATCTGTGAGGCAAAGACAACTGCTGCTTAAGTTACAATAAAAACAACTGTTGTTATGATATTGCAATTATGCTGTAAGGAAACTAGAGCCCCGACAGATAAACAATCTTATTTTTTTAGCAACAGAAACCATGGCCTTGACCTTAAAAGCCTTTTCCTTATTGCACATTAACATATCACAGTGCATTTTCATTTCAAAAAGATCAGTCTTTTGGATTCCGAGATAGGAACACCCCCCTCCCCCATCACACACACACCTCCCCATGCTATTTTTAGAAACAGTGATCTTGACCTTGACTTTAGAAATCTTTTAACCCCAAATGAACTTCTACATTTTCAGAAAGCTTAGTATTTCGGATTCCAAGACAATGTCTGGAAACGATATTGTGGCCCGACAGACAAAAAAAACCTGTGACTTATGAATTACACTTGTGGTCACATAATTGGATAATGACGACAAGTTGTTTTACAGCATATACTTGTGTATGCTGTACCACATGTGTAAGATGAATCATATGTGTATATTGAATCACATATGTGTGAATGTTGTATCATGTTAACTTGTATATATATATATATATATATAGAATGTATGAATGTTGTCTTACAGGTGTATATGTTGTGTAACATATGTATGTTGTATTACATGTGTGTAAGTTGTGTTACATGTGTGTAAGTGGTATCAGTGAGTATCACAGGTGTGTATGTTGTGTCACATATGTATGTTGTATTACATGTGTGTAAGTTGTGTTACATGTGTGTAAGTGGTATCAGTGAGTATCACAGGTGTGTATGTTGTGTCACATATGTATGTTGTATTACATGTGTGTAAGTGGTATCAGTGAGAATCACAGGTGTGTATGTTGTGTCACATTTGTGTATGCTGTGTCACATGTGTGTATGTTGTGTCACATGTGTGTATGTTGTATCAGTGAGTATCACAGGTGTGTATGTGTATTACATGTGTGTATGTTGTGTCACAGGTGTGCATGTTGTGTCACATTTGTGTATGTTGTGTCACATGTGTGTATGTTGTGTCACATGTGTGTATGTTGTATCACATGTGTGTATGTTGAATCACAGGTGTGTATGGTGTATTACATGTGTGCATGTTGTGTAACTTGATGTGTGTATGTTGTGTCCTGTGTGTATGTTGTATAAAAATGTGAATGTTCAGTCATAGGTGTGCATATTGTGTAATATGATGTGTGTATGTTGTGTCATATGTGTATGTTGTGTCACATGTGTATGTTGTGTCACATGTGTGTATGTTGTCACATGTGTGTATGTTGTATCACAGATTTGTTTGTTGTTCACAGGTGTGTATTACACATGTATGTAAAAAAATGTTTCATATGTGTGGATGTTGTATTACAGGTGTGTTTAATGTTTCACAGGTTAAGTTGTATGTGTGAATGTTATATAACAGGTGTATTGTATTGCATATGTTTGTTGTATCACATTTGTGTATCTTGTATTCCATGTGCATTACCATGTGTGTATATTGTGTTACAAGTGTGTATGATTTAGCACACATGTATTTTTAAGATTGTGTATAACAGGTAATTCCTTGGCAATGATACAATGTCCGAGATCACATGATCTGAAATACTTGAATTAATAAGACTCTCCTGGGTATGTAATCAATTATTTGATCATGGTCTTAATTGGAAGAAAATTATAGATCTTGTGCTCATAATCAATATATTTACTGATGCTGATCTATGTTCTCCCATAGCTACTGTACTTTTCCTCATTCCCTGTCTATCGATATAAAAAAGAGATTATTTTTACTGTGATTAGTGCAAATTTCATAAGAACTCTTTACAAAAGTTGTATCTCCAAAAACATCAAACACTGTCCAACTTGCAAGAGTTAAATTAAGAAGTACTTCAGCTTACCTCAGAATAAACACACTCGAACAGATTTATAATATTATCACAATCAATCATACAATTTGCTTAGATATTTTCCAAGTATCGACCAAGCATGCATATATGCTTATATACATGTATATTTACTGAAATAATCATCACTGTTTTGACCCCCCACCCCCCATAATCTCTTCCTTCTTTGAATGTATGCCAACTGATTACAGGTACAAAATTTACAGACATCTTTAACTTATTAATTATTCTGCGAAGCTAACAGGACTGTTGTTATTATCATACACCATATATAACTTCATCAAATGTACCAAGACGTAGTATATCGGAGGCTGAGCTACAAGCAAAGATGCATCTATCTTACCTGTGTATCAATGTTACCGTAAGTGAAACCCTCAGAATCCTTCAGAGTCATTTAACATGATAATACCAACCCTCCTGTTATGTTAATAACATCATCTACACAGGGAACCATCAGCTGTGCATTAGCCCCAGTGTGCTGGAGTAGAGGTCATATGTGTTGAGCTCCAACATGCCTACCTGTGATAATTATCCTCCACACTTTTCACTGCATTTTCTCAATGATGTATACCACATAAAAAAAGTAAACATCTATACATGAAAGCATATCAATTATCAGATCAAAACAATACAGAAATATCTCCAATAAATTGATAACATTCCAGAAATATTCCACACATACTCCAACTGCCAAACATGGGCACAGCTGTATACCCTTGGCTAGTACAGTATCCAAGTACACACACTGACACACACATGTGCCAGCAGGCTAAGTCTAAAACGCAAAATACACCATCCAATATTCCATCCTCATGGCTATGATGAAAATTAATTACAAGATTCATACATTCAAGAAATAACCATATATGTTATTAACTTTTAAAGAGATCGTTTCTCCCGAATGAAACTGTCTGACACGTGTACTGGCTCATTCAATATGCTGCACTCCGCCGACAGCCATGCGGAGAAACTTTGTAGCCCAAATAACAGTGGTTGGCAAGTGATGATACGCAAAATAGTGAAAATGGTTAAGTTAAATTATACCTCTCCAGACGTTAAAATTCATATACTCTTGAGAATCTGTCATATGTTCTTCAACCCTATTTAGACCGCTCGGTCCAGACAGGTCGAGTAAGGTCATTTCAGGGATGTAACGAAATGTTGTCTGCTAAAACCAAAATGTCCTCCGTTCGTTCTCTCCTTCTGTGGGTTCCGGCCCGCTGTTCGGTTGCCTGTTTCACCAGAGCTGTTCAGACCTATTCTGGTCTCTAGTCAAACTGAAGACCTATTTGTGTGTTCACCGGGAGCCCGGATTGTACGTATAATACCTTGAGTTGGCACATGTTACAACATGCATGCCTCCACTCGGAATCAATTTCGTTCTTCTGTATCGTCATGTGTTCAATGAGCAAAACAAATACACTAATTCCATAGAAACCAACTGAAATTCAAATCATGTATTAGAAAAGTGCACAAACTACAAGCACATCACAAATTGCTATCCTAAAACATAAACGGCATTGAAATTCCAAAAAAAATCTACCCTTGCTAAACATTGGCCCGGCTCGAGTTTGACAGGCCGCCATATTGAATGGAAATAAGCCACAGTGGTTGCAGAAAAATCGCTGAAAGAAATATAATAATGAGCATATGGTCTAACCTCCTCCCTGGTTAGATCGTTTAGGGACCCCATTTTCTACTTCTGTGTCCAATGGCCGTTTCCTTGAGTCAGAAGTGTCCATATCACCTCCATTCAGGTTGTCGTAGTTCATCGCCATTTTCCACTGCGCCCAGTTCTCGTGGGGTAACGTACTAAACGTTAGTATCGTCACGAGATCTGTCAAAACACATTCTGGCATGATAAAATATTTCCGATCAGGGATTTGTATGCGTTTCTTTGTTTTAATAAGTGATGAGAACTAACCAAAATATTCTAAATTTATTTGATATTTAGAAATATTGGATAATGAACGTTATTTCGGCGTTTTGTGCCGAGACAAAACCACATGTCAACAAACGAGACACGCCCCCTTTCTTAAATACACACGTGTGTACGATACAGTGTGTCTCAAGGCGCTTACATGTTTTAGACAATTTTAGCTGGCGAAGTTAATTATATCATATATCATTTAGAAAATACATTAATTATGGCATAGAACATAAAAGTATTCTGATTCGTTAGCATGTGATTTTAAAACATAAAAACGTTTTTCCTTGTGAAACTTTTCCTAGAACGGGAATTTGATAGATCTTTTATTTTTAGAATTTCGTCATTTTTTTGGCATTTCTGTAAACTTGAATAAGTTTCGCTTTAATATTACTATTTATTTCAAAATAGTATTCTGAAACTCATATGTCATGCAAATTTGCCGTGAAATAAATAACATAGTTTATTTGTCACAACTATCCACAAGTACACTGTAAATAAAAATTGTTGAGTACTAAATAAAAAAGGATACATTTTCAATTACCTACATTGGTATCATATATAACTGATTTAGAATTCAGTGGGATGAGTTGTACTTGTGGATTCTATACCTCTCGTGTACAGTATTCCTGTGTATCTGTGTACTTGTGGATT